CTCGCCAAGTTTCCCAGGTGGGTCTCGAACCCGCAGGCTCAGGCAATCCACTCACCTCAGTCTCCCAAGGCGTGGGATTACAGGCTGAGCCACCGAACCCGGCTTTTTTTGTGTTTTTTTTCAGTCAGAGTCTCACTCTGTTGCCCAGGCTGTACTGCAGTGGCACACTCAGCCTTGACCTGCTGGGCTCAGGTGATCCTTCTGCCTTAGCCTTCCAAGTAGCTGGAACTACAGGCACACGTCACCATGCCTGGCTAATTTTTTTTATTTATTGTAGAGACAAGGTCTCACCATTTTGCTCAGGTTGGTCTCAAACCACTGGGCTCAGGCAATCCTCTTGCCTCAGCCTCCCAAAGTGCTGGGATTACAGGTGTGAGTCACCACCCCCGGTCCTGTCTTTTTCTATAATGAGTATATATTACTTGTGTAATGAATATGAAATAATGCAGAAAGAGAGATAGTCATGGCATCTGAGAAAGAGCATTGGTGTTATTTATTTTTGAGTTGGAGTCTCACTCTTATTACCCAGGCTGGAGTACAGTGGCATGCTCACAGGCACAGCAGCCTTGACCTGCTGAGCTCAGTTGATTCTTCTGCCTCAGCCTTCCAAACAGCTGGAGTCACAGGCATGCACCACCATGCCAGGCTAATTTTTTAAATTTATTGTAGAGACGAGGTCTCACCATGTTGCTCAGGCTACCCTGGACCCCTGAGCTCAGGCAGTCCTCTCACCTTGGTCTCCCAAAGTGCTGGGATTACATGTGTGAACCACTGCGCACAACTATTTGTTTTTAAGTGACAGGTAATAACTCTATGAGACTGCACTCCCCTTTTTTTCACAAAGTCCCAGGTTGGATTCTCACCTCTGTCACTTAACCTCTGAAGCTCAGTGTCCTAGCTGGAAAAGGGAGATAGTAACACGTATATTAAAAAATTATGGTGAGATGTTAATAAGACAACAAATGTCAAAGACATCTGCAAACCATAAAGTGCCATAAAGATGGCAGTTATTCTTTTTTTTTTTTTTTTGAGTCAGTCTCACTGTTGCCCAGGTTGGAGTGCGGTGGCATGCTGACAACCACTGCAGCCTCAACCTGCTGAGCTCAGTTGATCCTTCTGCCTTAGCCTTCCAAGTAGCTGAAACCACAGGCATACATCACCACACATGGCTAATTTTTAAATTTTTATTGTAGAGATGAGGTCTCGCCATGTTGCTCCGTCTGATCTCGAACTCATGAGCTCAGGCAATGGTCTAGCCTCCGCTTCCCAAAGTACTGGGATTACAGGTATGAGTTACCATGACCCTCAAAGTCTTTTTTTTTTTTTTAACCAGGGAGACAATCTCATGGAGGTCTGGGTCTCTACGAAACCAACATCCTAGAAACCCCTCAAATCTGGATCCTCTCAAAATATCTAAGTCTTACATTGAAAGGAGAGTAGCATTCTTACCCTTTGAGAGTACATTCTTCTAACTGAGCTTGGTGGCATCCCTGAAGAGGATTCTCTAAGCAGTGTTCAGGTAACCCACTCTTTCCTGAAGTCCCCAACCACATCATCAAGGGTCATCAGTTCCTAAAGCAAGATAACTCAAAATGCATCAATAGCTCCCTAGGTATTAACACCATTGTCTGAGAACCAAAAGATGACCACCAGCATGTGCAAAAAAAATACCCCCTGACTAGAATGGCCCTGAGGTGAATTCTGTCAACCACAGAAGAGTTGCTTTTCTTATTCTGTTTTTATATAAGCCTTCTCTTGGCCAACTTTCTCATCACTAATAGACATTTGGGCCTCTCAAACACATCTACAGAATCCTCAGGAACAAATTGTCCATGGTGAACAAGACAAACAGAGAAGAGAGTTTGCAGGTATAATTTGATTTCTGGAAAACTTTTGATTTTCTCCAACTACATTTTCCTCAACAAGCTAGAAAATTGTGTACTTAACTATACTCATATTAGTTATGAGAACAGCTGATTCTTCTTGGCTTGTAGATTTGGAGTCAGCCTCAAGGGATAGTTGATGCGGAACTCCAAAGTGCTGGGTAACATTCTATTTCAAGGTTTCATGGAATCAGAAATGAGACATAAAAGACATGAATTTTTTTGAAAAGACATGGATAAATTGTAAAAATAAGTGAAATTCATTGGGGCTAAGCACAAAACACAATCCTTGGTGGCTGAAATTAGTCATTAATACATTAATAAATTCGCAACAGTATCATGAAAAAATTACTTTTGGGGAGGATAGCCAGAGTTGATTACCAGATGGATTAGTAATTTATTCAGTAACTAATATGTTGCAAGGCATTAGTGGTCACAAAGAAAAGATAATTTTTTTTCTCTTAAAAATTTTCCAATAGAGGCTAGGCAGGTAGCTCACACCTGTAAGCCCAAAGTTTTGAGAGACCCAGGTGGGAGAATTGCTTGAAGCCAGGAGCTGGAGACCAGCCTGGGTAACATAGCAAGACCTCTTCTCTACAAAAAATAAAAAAAGTATCTGGGCATGGTGGCTTGTGCCTACAGTCCCAGTTACTCAGGAGACTGAGGAGGGAGAATCCGTTAGGAATTTGAGCATTCTGTGAGTCATGATCACTCTACTGCACTCCAGCCTGAGAGACAGAACGAGATCTTGTCTCAAAAAAAAAAAAAAAGTTAAATAGAAACAAATCAGCCAGGGGCAGTGGCTCATGCCTGTAATCGCAGCATTTGCGTGAGCCCAGGGGTTTGAGATTAGCCTGGACAACTTGGTGAGACCTCATCTGTACAATAAATTAAAAAAATTAGCTGGGTGTGGTGTTGCACACCTGTAGTTCCAGCTACTTGGAAGGCTAAAGTGGATCACCTGAGCCCAGCAGGTCAAGACTGCAGTGGCCATGAATGTGCCACTGCACTCCAACCTGGGTGACAGGGTGAGACTCCTACTCAAAACAAAAAACAAAAAAACAAAAAAAGAAGGAAAGCTGAATTATCTCTGGCTATAAATAATTTTACATTTCAGTGGCTGGGGTGAGGGGTTTTACTCTTTGAAATATTTTGTCTCACCAACCAAAGCACTTGTTTACTACTAGAACACACACACACACATACACACACACACACACACACACACACACACACACACACACACAAATATTTTTGTGGAAACACTTATGTATTTATAGACAATGCTATCAACCATTTATAAAGTAATGAGTTTTTAAGTACCTAAAAACTGTAGGAACACATTTCATCTACTGGTTCAAACCCTTAACAAACAGCAATAATGTCATTAGGAAGTAAAAACTATATCAGAATTTTGTGTGTGCATTTTATTTCTCCATTCATTACAAAACATTGCTGGGCCCACCTGCAGGAGACAGCGGGGGGGGGGGGGGGGGGGGGGGGGAGAGAATTCTTAGCCACAGTTACATAAGCGTCGTTTCCCTCCCAATGTCCTTCCCTCCGTGCAGGTGACCTCAAAGGCCCCGTAGCGCCGAGGTGCTATGACTAAGTGTCATTGTGAGAAACACCAATTTGTTCACTGGGTTTATTAATAGGAACATGATCGCATGGGTGGGGCCGACAGCCGTTCTTCCTTTGCGGTGCTGCTGGCCCTAATCGGGGTGCAGCGGTCAGAGGGTCACGATGGTCAGCTGAAACCCGGGACCACCACGGAGGAGCCAGGAAACTAAGAGGATGCGCTATCCCGACGACGGTATAGAAACCGCAGTGACCTCTCCCCACATCTCCGCAAGACCCAGGGGCTCTGACTGGAGAGCACTGGAACCGGCAATGAAAAAGTCGGGGTGACGGGCGAGCCCCCTACAGTCCCCTCGGTAGCGAGCCGGCTGTCGCCCTCCCTGGATCACTCACCGCCCCAAGGCCCAGCCGGGGATGGAGCAGGAAGGGAGAGTCCTCCACCGCTGAGCCGCAGCCGGCCCGCAGAGCCGAGGCGGTCCCTCCCAGAGTCCTACAGGGATTTGTGACAGGGCTGTGGGGACACAGGTGGGACCCTGGGTTCGACAGCCGACAGCCGGAAAACACCACCCTTGTCCCCTTGCCATTGGCTTTTCGGTTTCCACGGCTAGAAATCCTCCCTGTCCATAGGCTGACTGAGCTGTCAATTACCGCTGAGCCTTCTGGGAACTGTAGTCCCGAGCCAGACGCCCAAAGCCTCAAAGCCCGGTTCCATGCTGAGACAAGTGCTAAACCCAATTCCCGAGCTACCGGACACCAGGAACTGCCTCTCTGGACCTGAGGGGTCCAAATGCCGGACCCCCAGAGTGGGATCTGCAGATGTGAATCTCCTGGTCTCACCCTACCGCGGAGCATCCTGGTTCCCACGAAGAGGTCTTCAGCGCTCTGTCACCTCGCCCCTCCCCAGTGCGCCGCGGATCTTCGCGCTGGTCTTTCCGCGGATCCTCTTCTGCCGGGTCTTCAGCCTCACCCCGGGCAGCCAGAGCCTGCAGGGTGTCTGCCGCCGGCCAGGTTCCTGACCAACTCAGACTGGATATAGGGAAAGTCCTAGCAGAAGCCTTTAGTAGGAAATGGTCGTTCTGCGTCCTTCCTTCCATGAGTACCAAACTCCCAGCCATATCCCCTTTCCGTCTGGTTAATAATGAGAGGAGGCAGATGAGGACATCAAGTATTCTGAGAAACGTGATATTGCGTTTGAAACCAGGGAGGCTCTTGGGTCTCATGTGAGAGCCTGTGGTCACTTAGGGCGGGCACCTTGCTTAAAAAATAATAGAAGTCTTTCCTTACAGCAAAGAAAATGTTCCTGTCCACCTCTTTGTTGATTCTGTGCAATTAAATAGAGAAAAGAACAATACAATTCTTAGAATTACCAGCCAAGAGACTAATGTGCAAGATCTTTTCAGTGGGAATTCCACCATTCCTTCAACAAACACTCTGTGCATTTTCCAACAGGTATTCACTGGGAACGTTCTATACTCAAGATGGTTCTGGGCACTGTGGTTACCCACGGGAATCACACATAATCCTTGCCTTCATATAGTTCACAGCCAAAAAGGGAGGTAAATCTTAAAAGGTACCAGAATCCCAAGTAATGTTGTGTCTTCTTTTTCTTTCATGTAACCTGTGGCGCGTTAGTTATTTTGCTATATGGTTGGAGTCACCTGCTAGATAACCACATAGTATTTGGGGGCATTTTTTTCCACTACAAACAGATGTCTGGTTTTGGTTAGCAGACTAGTTAGATGTAGGAATATAGGATATAGATATAGGAATATAGAAATTTTGTAGGAACACAGGAACGACGAGGAACACCCAAGAAACCTAGGGATTGCCAGGCATCATGTGACTGGAATATAGTTCAGGCCCCGGACAATTGAAGGCATCTACTGGCCTCTCAGTAGTCTTTCCGGTATGTTGTCGTCAGGAAATGTGACTCTTCAATCAATTGGCAGGGACTGGGAAAGGGAGGTGAACTAAGAGTCACCAGAATCTGGCTGGTGGCTATCCCCTGCCTCCCTCTCCAACTTCTGTTCCTTCTGGTCTGCCTTGTTCTCTCAGTAGTTTATTCACCACTATCAGGTGTGTGGGAGGAGGAAAAGGACTGGTCTCATGACAAGAGCAGTCAGTACGGGAAACCAGATTATGTACCCTAGATGACCATTTGGAGAGAGGACCATGACCTGTTGGGAGCTGGATTTTTAACGTGTATGGCAGAAAGGAAGAAGCAGAGGAGGAAAGAGAAACTGCAAAAGGACTTCATGGAGAATGAAAAGAGAAAAAGGTTTTTAACAGGCATTATAACTGAAAATGTTAAGGGAGGAAGTGCATTGGTTATCTATTGCTATATAACAAATACCCCAACACATTGGTTTTTAATAACAAACATTTACTATTTTATCATCTCTGTGGGTTAGGAATCTGGAACAGATTAGCTGAGTGTCTCTAATTGAAGGTTTCTTGTGAGGTTACAGTCTAGACATTGGCTGGTGCTGCAGTTATCCGAAGGCTTGACTGGGGCAGGACGATCTGCTTGCAAGAGGCTACATGTGGCTGTTTCCTCATATGTAGCCTCTGACAACGTGGCAGCTGGCTTCCCCAGAATGGATGATCTAAGAAAGAAGCAGAAGCTGTAATTTAATCTTGGATGTTACAAGGACATGAACACTAGGAGATAAGGATCATAGTGTGAGTATTAATCAGAATTATCCGGAGAGACATAACCAATATTAGATAAATAGATGATAGATCGATACATAGATGAGAGATGGGAGATTCATTAGGAGAAGAGATTCACATGATAATGGAGACCGAGAAATCCCCTGATAGTTTGTCTTCATGACAGAGAATGAGGAAATTCATGCAGCTCAGTTCAAGTCTGGAGGCCTGAGAACCTGGGAGGCTGTGCGAGTCCTGAAGTTCAAAGACCAAAGAACCTGGAGTTCTTGTGTCCAAGAGCAGGAGGAGAAGGGTATTCCTGCTCCAGGAAAGAGAGAAATAATTCACCTTTCCTCTGCCTTTTTGTTCTATCTGGGCCCTCAACTGATTGGATGGTGCACACCCACACTGGGAAGGGTAGATCTTTCTTATTCAGTTCACTGATTCAAATACCAGTCTCTTCCAGAAATCTCACAGTCACACCCAGAAATAATACTTTATCAACTATCTGAGTATCTCTTATAGCTTATAGTTAAAAATAACTGGTAAGGTTGGGTGCGGGGGCTCATGCCTGTAATCCTAGCACTTTGGAAGATTGAGGCAAGAGGATTGCTTGAGTCTAGGAGTTCGAGACCAGCCTGGGCAACATAGTGAGACCTCATCTCCTCAAAAAATACAAAAATTAACTAGGCATGATGGTGCACACCAATAGTCCCAGCTACTCAGGAGACTGAGGCAGAAAGGATTGCCTGAGCCCAGGAGGCCCAGGCTGTAGTGAGCCATAATCATGCCTCTGCACTCTAGCCTGGGCAGCAGAGCAAGACTTCAACTCAAAAAAAAAAAAAGAAAAAACCCAGCCTTGTCAGGGTTTAAAAGTCTAATTTGTGGTCAACCTTAGTCAATTTAATGTTCCAACGCCCTATGAGAGCTGTCTCTCTCTTCCAAAGGTCTCTCCTCCACTTCCTCCTTCCCTAGATGTTACCTAGGTACAAGGGGATGCTCTTGGGTGGGGGCCGTGGTCTCCAGCTGACCTTCTCCACTGGCTCCTGGTCATTCTACTTGGAATGCAGTTCATCTCACCAAATCTCTGTATTGGCCCCTTGCTTATTGCACCCTTTACCATTCAAGCCTGGTGGCCTGTTCTCTTTAGAATCTGTTTGGGTTTCTACCCTACAGCCTTGGCCACAGGGCTCCTTGGGAGGCCCTTGGTCACATGGCGCTCCTTTGGGAGGCTTCCTGGCTCTCAACTTAGCTACTCCCATTACCTAAACTGGGAGTACTTAAGGACTTCTAGAACCCTTCATGCTATTAATACATAGACTCAAAGAAGACTTGGGTACACGCTCTCACCCTTTCTGTTCAATTCAGCTATGACTGCCATTTCTATCCTGCCGTAGCTACCTTTCATTGACTCTGGGGTGCTCTAGGAGTCAGTTTCCTTCAACGGTTCAAACAAGAAGTAGGCTACGGTTTCCTTTATTTCAACTTCCCTTTCAGTCTCTCTGGAATTCCTGTCATCATGCCCTCCTTCCCTTCCCATTGATGATAACTCTCCTGGCCCACCTTTATTTTATTTTATTTATTTATTTATTTTTGAGTTGGAGTCTCACTCTGTCACCCAGACTGGAGTGCAGTGGCCACTCCCGGCCACCGCAAACTCGACCTGCTGGGCTCCAGTGATCCTTCCGCCTCAGCCTTCCTGCC